TCATGGAGTGAGATCACCTGCTTCTGCGCTGACCGGGGAGGGTTCTGGACAAGGAAGCGGATACTCGGACAGCAGGGATGAGGCGGAGGAGACGCCAGGATGGTCCCTGAGGGTCGTGCACTCAGCAACGCCGTGGGAGCCACCCCTGCCCACAGCGCTGTGCTGGGGAAGCGGGCGAAGACCCCGAGAGCGGCTGCTTCCAGGCGTCAACACTGGGCGGGACTTCCCAGGCTCTCAATTGTCTCCATCTGCCCCCAAACCTACTGATACCCGTGTTAGATGCCCACTGTACAGAGGAGAAGACTGAGGAGGGACGGTGGAAAGAGCTCCCCAAAGTCACCCCACGCCAAGTGACAGGGACCAGGACGCCTAGTGTCCTAACAAGCCCACCTAAGCCTCCTCCACCGGAAGGAAAAATGCTCAAAACAGAGCACATAGCAGGTTTCTGTGGAAGACCGTGACTTGGCGCCACGTGAGCGGCTGGGGAAGGAAAACCCGCACCGCCCACTTCATTCAGAGACACTCAGACACGCTCCCACGTATCGGCGATAAACAGACTTTCCTGAGCTCCACTCTGACTGGCACAGAGGTGACGGGTGTTTTAAAGGGTGCGCAACGGAGGGGGACATGCGGGGGGCTCAGAAGTCCGTGAAATGAGAATTTGCAAAGGGTCGGTGAGCATCAGTGGGGTTGGGCCCAGTGTCAGCCAGTTGGCCGGATGGAAGCCAGGCTCCCAGCCTCCCACGGGAGGAGGCAGAGAGGCCCGCCCTCCTGACACTGCATCTCTCTATAGATTTTCTGTTAAGAATAGTTTATTGATTTTGAGGGGGGGGGGGCGAGAGGAGAGAGAGAAGCATCCATGTGAGAGCACATCGATGGGCTGCCTCCTGCTCACACCCCTGCGGGGTCAAGCCCGCAACCTGGGCCTGAGCCTGACCAGGAACTGAACTGGCGACCTCCTGGTGCGCAGGGTGACGCCCCAGCAACGGAGCCACAGGACCAGGGTGGACGACGACATTTCAAATGACTGGATCTTGAGTGCTCAAGGACAAATAAGTGCCCAGGTCCATGAGAGCGACACTCCTGAGCTGCAGGCCACACATGCCCGTCCCGGGGCAGAGGGGGTTCCCAGGGGCAGCCCCTGTCAGTAAGCCTCTGAGAGGCGCTCGGGGCCCAGCCCAGAGGTTGGCTGGACAGTCCCTTCTCCTGGCAGCCTTCCGCTTCTCCCGCAGGCGTTTCAGGGGCTGGGGCCGGCCTAGGGGCGCCCACTCATTTACGGAGGGAGATGGAGGGAGTCTCTGCAGACAGAGTCAGGGAGCAGGAAGGAGTAAGAGGGAGATGGACAGGCAAGGCCGAGTTTCCGCCATGGAAGCTGAGAAGTGAGGCGCCAGGGACCAGCTGCTCAGGGGAAGAGACCTCCCCCCGAGTCCCTCGGAAGAACAGCAGACGGCCAACCACCCCTGAAACGCTGGGGTCTCCCGGATTGGCCCTCGGGGTTCCAGCACAGATACATGATGGACAGCCCCGACCTCAGGCTGCCAGCCTCCCACCTCAGCTCAAAGGAGGGAGACCCCACAGCACGGTCCCTGCGGGCACTAGGGGGCAGTTCCCAGTGGGTTCCCTGCCCCTCCCCTTTCACCACAGCCCTTCTCCCCCTCACAGAAGAGTAGCTTCGTCCTCACTGACCGGGATCTACAGCCTTGGCCCAGGCGTAAGGTTCCAGCGAGGATGGGGCACCCACTGCTTCCAGACAGACAGGCCAAGGGAAGAACCAGGAGACCACATCCCCCCCCAGGGAGGCTCCCTCCACCTCTGTTACTTTAGATGGGGATTCCCACCCCCAGACAGTTGCCATGGAAACGTGCTGTAATGTATTCATTTGAGTTGGGGGGAGGGGGAAGCCAGCTTTTTCCCTAAAAGTGAAGTCTGGCCCTAGCCGGTTTGGCCTCAGTGGATACAGTGGAAAGAAGGGTTCCTGGTTCGATTCAAGTCAAGGGCACGTACCTCAGTTGCAAGCTCATCCCCAGCCCTAGATGGGGCTCAGGGGAGAGGCAACTAATCAATATGTCTCTCTCACATCAATGTTTCTCTCTGTGTCTCTCCCCTCCCTTCCACTCTCTCTAAAAATCAATGGAAAAATATCCTCGAATGAGGATTAACAATAAATAAATGTAAATAAATGAATGAGCTTAGTCTCCTTTGGCTGATTGGTTGGCAGTAATGCCTGCTCTGACTATTTAAATGACATGCAGGCATTTCCCATTAACTGCGTGAGCTAACTGTGCAACTCCAAGGACGTGAAGAAAATAGACACATATGTACCACCTACCAAAAATGCCGTCCTCTGCACCTCTTGTGTTTATAAACCTTTTAAATATTTGGTGTCAACTAAGAATGTGTGCAGGGGTATGTGGTTTTTCAAATGATCGGAGACCAGGATTCAGCAAACTATGGCACAGGGGCCCAAGCCATCCCACTGCCAGGCCTGATCACATAATTGAGGAAGGCCTGCGGACTGAGAGTCCCAGGTTCGATTCCAGTCAAGGGCATGTACCTTGGTTGCAGGCACATCCCCAGCAGGGGGTGTGCTGGAGGCAGCTGATCAATGTTTCTCTCTCATCGATGTTTCTAACTCTCCCTCTCCCCTAAGCTCTGAAACCAATGAAATATATTTCTTTTAAAAAAGAAATCCGATTCAGCTGGAATGTTGCCTCTTCTGTGATGCCTCCTGGATCAGGCACCTGGGTTCAAATCCCACCTCTGCACGTGGCTGTCAGGTGCTAGAGACTCAATGCCTAGTGGTGGAATGAGTTTGGGTGAGCTAGGAAAGCACCGTGAGCCTCAGTTTCCCCATCTGTGAAGTGGGGGTGAAACAACCCTCCTCTGGAGCTATGGGGGGTGGCAGAGGTGACTGTCATGGCTGCGACATCACCCCCTAACCTCACTGGTCTGCACAGCGACTGGCACTTCTCCCCACTCTCATCCCTACCCCGACTGTCACTCCCTCTGGGCATGGATTCTGTCCCTGCTGTTTTGCGACCTTCATGCCTCCACCCCTGCCCCCGCCCACACGATGCCCAGCCACTGTCAGCGGAGGGAATGGTCTGGTTCCTGGGGACAGGGACACGGGCTGAGGACGCACCTGGTCGCTGCGGGAGACTCCGTAGCGCAGCTCATTCACGAAGTGCTCACAGTTGTCGCTGGTCACCTTGAAGAGCATCTCCTGCCCCACCTTCTCCTCCGCCCGACGCACGATTTCGATGGGAGGCCTTGGGGAGTACTTCCGGTCATGCTTGTTATTGACACGGTACTTGTCTTTCCCGGCCACCACGGACAGCCGCTCCTTCTTCACTATGGCCTTGTCGGTCAGGACAGACATGAGGCAGGCCGACACAGGTTGTGCAGTTTCACCTGTGGTTCCCAAAGAGGAAAGAGGCTGATGGTCAGGGCTGAGAGCGGGCAAGCAGGCAGCCCCACTGCCCTGGGCATCATCAATGAGGATGATCTGGGGAAAGGCCGGCCCCTGCCTGGCTTCAAACTCAAACACAGGCCGACCCCGCCTGGGTGCCCTTGGAGAAGCCACAGCTGCCCTGGACTCTGGCTCCTCATTTCTAAAGCCGAGGATGTGGATTCTCTAAAGGCCCCTGTGGGCTCAGACGTCCCTGAAAGACGCAGGAGGGGCAGAGGCTA